CCTAAAAACAACAACAACAAAAACATGAACACATGTAACTGCTATTTTATTGATTTTTTCTTTTTTATCTCAGGGACTAAATTGAGCTCATCCTATTCTAACACTGTATCTCATAACCATCACCAGTCCTCATGCCCCATTTCTGCTTCAATTCCCCTTCCCTACAGATATAGTTCTGCTAACAAGGTTAATATATGTCCTGAAAGAATATTGAAAGATTCCATGGGCAAAATATTGAATGATGCAGGAAACATGAAAAGAAGATAGAAGGAATACACAGAGTCACTGCACCAAAATGAATTGGTTGATGTTCCTCCATTTCAGGAGGAGGCATATGATTAAGAACCAATGTTATTGAAGGAAGAAGTCAAAGCTGCACTGGTGGAATTGGCAAAGAACAAGGTTCCAGAAATTGACAGAATACCCACTGAGATGTTTCAACAAATGGATGCCTTGTTGGAAGCGCTCACTCGGTTATGCCAAGAAATTTAAAAGACAGCTACCTGGCCAAATAACTGGAAGAGATGCATATTTGTACCCATTCCAAAGAACGATGATCCCACAAAATGTGGACATTATTGATCAATATCATTAATATCACACACAAGTAAAATATTACTGAAGATAATTAAAAAACTGTTGCAGCAGTGCATTGACAGAGAGCTTCCAGAAATGCAAGCTGGATTCAGAAGAGGACATGGAATGAGGTATATCATTGCTGACGTCAGATGGATCTTGACTGAAAGCAAAGAATACCAGCAAGATGTTTACTTATGTTTTACTGTGTCAAAGCATTCGATTGTTTGGATCATGACAAATTATGAATAACAATGAGAAGAATGGGAATTCCAGAACACTTACTTGTATTCATGAGGAACCTGTGTAGATCAGGAGGCTGTTGTTCAAACAGAATAAGGGGATACTGCATGGTTCAAAATCAAGAAGGAAGTTTGTCAAGATTGTATCCTTTCATCATACTTATTTGACTTGTATGCTGAGCAAATTATCCAAGAAACTGGATTATATGGAGAACATAGCATCAGGATTGGAGGAAGACTCATTAACAACCTGCAATATGCAGATGACACAATACTGCTTGCTGAAAGTGAGGATGAGTTGAAGCACTGATGAAGATTAAGACTACAGTCTGTGGTATGGATTATTCCTCAATATAAAGAAAACAAAAATACTTACAACTGGTCAAATAAACAGCTTTTTAGTGGATGGAGAAAAGTTTGAAGTTGTCAAGGATTTCATATTACTTAGTTCTACAATCAATACCAATGAAAGCAGCATTCAAGACATCAGATCATATATTGCATTGGGCAAGTCTGCTGCAAAAGACCTCTTTCAAGTGATGAGGAGCAAGGACGTCTCCTTGAAGACTAAGTAACACCTAATTCAAGCCATGGTATTTTCAATCACCTGTTATCCATGAGAGAGCTGGACAACGGATAAGGAAGATTGGAGAAGAGTTGATTCTTTTGAGTTGTGGTGTTGGAGAGGAATGTTAAGAGAACCTGCTAAAAGGACTAACAAATCTGTCCTGGAAGAAACACAACTAGAATGCTCCTTGGAAGAGAGAATGGCCAGACTTCATCTCACTTACTTTGGTCATGTTGTTAGAAGGAACCATTCCCTGGAGAAGGATATCACGTTTGGTGAGGTGGAGGGTTGAAGAAGGGGAAGACTCTCAATGAGATGGATAGACACAGTGGTTGCAATGATGGGTTCAGGTATAGCAAAGATCATGAGGCTGGCACAAGACTGGGCAGTGTTTCAGCCTGCCATGCATAGGGTCTCTGGGAGTCAGAGATGACTCAATCGCATCTTTAAACAACAACATACATAAACCTTTCCTTGACTTTTTACAACAATAGACTAATACAGTATTTGTCCTCCTGTGATGGACTTATTTCACTCAGCATAACGTCCTCCAAATTCATCCACGTTATGTGGTGTTTTGCAGATTATAAATTATTCTTTAGCATTGCATAGTATTCCATTGTGTGTATTTACCATACTTTGTTTATCCACTCTTCTGTTGATGGGTACCTAGGTTGGTTCTATCTGTTTGTATTGTTAATAGTGCTGTGATGAACATGCTGGTGTCTATATCTGTTCTTGGCCCAACTGGCCATAGATTTTCTTGAAAATTGTTACCGGTTTTAGACAATAACATTCCACCTCCAAAGAAACTAAATAAAGACATCAAAAAAGTAGTGTTTAATTTTGTAGTTTTCTAACAAAGATAATAAATTCTACACAACAGTTTTTTTAAATTTTTATGTGATTTGTGTGAAAGTTTACAGAATAAATTCACATTCTATACAGCAGTACATACACATTTTGTTTGATGACATTAATTGCAATTTCCCACAATGTAACAGCTCTCCTCCCACTCCCCCCACATATCTTCCTCTTCCATGTGTCCTTCCCTCCCACTTATTCCTGCCTCTTGAGCTGTTTCCCTGTGCATACACTGTCCTTCTATTCACCCAGGATTGATCTCTCCAATGAGTGTATCTACCTATTGTAAATGTTCAGCTCATACGACTGTCTTTTTTTTTTTTTTTTTTTTTGACTGGAAGCCACAGGAGTGGATTCAATTCCAGACCTGAAGGGAAGTTAGGGGCCATAGTCTCAGGGATTTCATGAGGTTCTATCAGACCAGCAAACCTGGTCCCTTTTTTTTTTTTTTTTTGTTAATGATTTTGAGTTTTGTTCCACATTGTTCTCCCACTCTATCCAGGATCTCCTACATAGATCCACCTGCTAGTGGGTGGCAGTGATAAGTGGGCACCATCTAATTCTTCTGGCCTTATGGCCATATAGGTGAGAATCACATAATCTACCAGTCCCTTGGATTAATTGTTTCCAGGTCCTTTTGTTTTTCTTCATTCTTCTTTGCTGTGGGTGAGGAGGAACCCATCCTTGCATCTAGATGGCCATGTGCAAGCTTTTAAAATCCCAGTCACTACTCAACAAAGCAGGATGTGGAACAATATTTTTTGGTGGTATATTGTGCCAATTGATTTTAATGTCCCTGAAACTATGGTTTCTGAGCCCACAGGTACAACTACGTCCTTCTTCCGGGTAGCTGGTTGTGGCCAAGAAGTTCCTACAACCTTGTCCCTTGTCAGCTGTACTGTGTACCTGGACATTCTTACAGAATATACAAATACACTTGTAGAAACACTGTCTGCCAACACTATATATGGTCATGGGCACACTTTACCCTGACACACCTGATCAGTCAACCTGTTCACATATCTCTCCACCTGTAGATCAATGTTTGCCATCACTGACAACGAAGTACTGTATGTGCAAAAGGGTTCATCTTGGTTGTCTGTACCTCCCATGCATCTCTCTATGTTTTGCTCTTTCTCACTGCCACCGTATTGATCACTCACATTTTGTACACAGCTCTTTTCTTCACCCAAATGTACACTTGTCTCAGCCTATCAGTGTTCTCTTCCCTCCTCCTCCAACCCTGACAATCAACAAAGAAAGTTTCATTCCATATATAAACTTTTCCTTGACTTTTTGCAATGGCAGATAATACAATATTTGTCCTTCTGTGATTGACTTATTTCACTCAGCATAATGTCTTCCAAGTTCATCCACATTATGTGGTGTTTTGCAGATTCTACATTATTCTTTAGGGTTGCATAATATTCCATTTCTACACAACATGCTTTAGTATGAGACAATGGGTAAGGCATTTATGTGCTAATCAAGAGGTCATCAGTTCCAACCCACCAGTTGCTGCTTTGTGGGAGGAGGATGAAATAATCTACTGCCTTAAAGAATTACAGCCTTAGAAACCCAATAGAAGTCACTATGAGTTGAAATTGTCTTGATGGCAGTGGGTTTTTATCATGTGGAAAACATTTAATTATATGTTATGATTAGCTGAACATAAATATTTTGCTTTGTGCACATGTGCCAAGAGAAAAGAGAGGTAAGGTAGAATCTTTTGTTTAGTTCACTCAGCTGTGGCATATTTCCTCTTTCAAAGTGCTATTGGTTTAGTTTTTATTTACTCCTACATATTTACCATTCTGTGATATAAAATTATTTTAAGTGTAAGACAACAATGAGTTTACAAAAAATTGTAGTAGGTGGAGGAAATGGAACAAAAGGTTAAGAATAGAGAATATGGTGTAAAAGAGAAAAGAAGTAAAATTGTAATAAAATGCTTAGTCTCAAACAAAAGGTAGATGTACCAAAGAGAATTACCTTCCCAGCAATGACTCTCATATACGTCCAGCACCCATTATCAAGCTTTCTTTTCCTTGTTTCAAAAACATGGTGTGTATCTTAGAGGCCATCAAGTCAACTCTAGCATATGACAACCCAATGCGTTACAGGGGAGCTCTGGAAGCATAGTGCCTAAGGCATTTGACTGCTAACCAGAAGGCTGGTGGTTCAAATCCACCAGCCACTCCTCAGAAGGAATATTGGGCAATCTACTTTCATAGAGGTACTGCCTTGGAAACCCAAGGAGGTATTGCTGTGAGTCGGGTCCAACTGGACTGCAGCGCATTTGTTTGTTTGTTTGTTTGTTTTCAATGTGTTACTAAGTAGAACTTTACCATAGGTTTTTCTTGGATATAATCTTAAAGAAAGAAGATCTCTAGGTGTTTACTTTTGTGGTACCATTAGATGTGTTCCCTCCACCAACAATTAGGTACTAGATACTTTATTTAGAGACTATAAGAACCAAATCTTTTAATTATTTCCATTCTATTTATTATATTTATTTCCTTTGAAAGTGTTATTTATTACATATCTAAGTTGATTTTCAAATTAATACATTTTTCAACATAATATTAGCTATTTTACATTGGTATAAAGTGCAACAAGTTTTGTCCTGTTGAAATAAATGGCTTTTTTTTTTTTTTTTCTTTTTTAACCACGTAAGGCCTTTGCATTTAACAGTAAATTTGTCAGGAGCAAATTTAGACTTTTACCAGAAGATAGCTGCAGTTATGTGTTTACAGTATTCTGAGTGAGTGACACGGGTTATTCAGGAACCTCTTCAGTGCATCCTTCACGTCTCTGTTCCTTAGGCTGTAAATGAGGGGATTCAGCATCGGTGTCACTAGAGTGTAAAAGATCGAAGCCATTTTGTCAGTATCTAATGAGTGGTTGGTCCTTGGCTGCAAATACATGAAAAGGAGAGTTCCATAGAACACAGTGACTGCCACCATGTGAGATGCACAGGTTGAAAAAGCCTTTTGTCTTCCCTCTGAGGATGGTATTCTCAAAATGGCAAGGCCAATGTTGAAGTAGGATATTAGAATAATGGTAACAGAGAAAAACAAATTGGTCCCTGAAAAGGTGAACACTGCTGTTTCGGGAATGAAGGTATCAGAACAGGACAATGCTAACAAAGGAACGTTATCACAGTAAAAATGGTTGATTACATTAGAAGAGCAGTATGATACCGAGAACACACAGGAAGAGACGGTCAGTGCTGTGGTCAGACTGTAGAGGTATGTGAGGGATACCAGCAGAAGGCAAAGCTGCCGAGAGACCACCACCATGTACAGCAGGGGGTTACAAATGGCCACGTAGCGGTCATAGGCCATTGCCGCCAGCATGAAAATCTCAGCCACAATGAAAACTGCGAATCCCCCAAGTTGAGCTGCACAACTGTAGTAGGAGATGGTTTTCTTCTTAACCAAGAAGCTGACCAGCATTTTAGGAGCGATGACGGTAGAATTGCAAAGATTGACGATAGCCAGGTGTCGGAGGAAAAAGTACATGGGGGTTTGAAGTCGAGAGTCCACACTGGTGAGGGTGATGATGCTCAGGTTGCCTGCCACCGTCAGCCCATAGATCACCAGGAAGGTAAAGAAAAGGGGCACCTGGAGCTCGGGACTGTCTGAGAACCCCCTGAGAATGAACTCAGTCACTCGAGTGACATTCCCTGCAGCCATTTACTGTGTTCTCATCTTTAAAGGAGGAAAGAGATTAATCGGTGTTAAAATTAATCTTAATAGTTATTCCTAGCAGCTCTGGTAGCGTAGTGCCTAAGGCACTTGACTGCTAACCAGAAGGCTGGTGGTTCAAACCCACCAGCCACTGCTCGGAAGGAAGACGGGGCAATCTAATTCTGTAGTGATACTGCCTCAGAAACCCAAGGAGGGCTCACTATGAGTAGGATCTGACTCAACGGCACATAACAACAACAACAACAGTTATTCCTAGTTAAAGTTTCATTTAAAATCTGTTTATTTTGTTCACAAACACTTTGAAGTTTCAGATCTTAATTGTTGTTCTTCCCAACTTTTCACATTTATTTATTCACTGCTGGACATAGTTTAATCTTGGATTTTTAAAATATATATGTGTGTATGTGTGTTTATACATATGTGTGTGTGTGTGTGTGTGTATTTTCTGATGAAATGTATTTTTTTTTTTCCTCTCCTACTGTTTTTCTAATGAACTGCCTTTAAGGAGTTAGAGGTGATGAGCCAGAGAGACCTCCAATTATCTTTTTTCTTGACTGCCACGTGCCTCTCCTCCATCTCATACCATATATCCATCCCCGGGTATTCAAATATTTGAGAATATCTGCAGGAAACATTTCCAGAGCCCTGGCTCTCCTGACGTTTCTAGCACATCCTTCTGCTTCAACTATCCACAGATAGATCTACATCTCTTTGCTTTTCCTTCTATAGTTGCAAGAAGACTGAATCCTTATATCTTACTCTTTGTCTTTCTGCTGCCATATATATCAGCTTTATACTGTCATTTGTCCTGCAGATCAATCTCAGTGATTTCTTGGCCTACTTTCCTTCCTTTTATGTTATCCTCTTTGCATGCCTTAAACTATATGAAGTCTGTTTGCTTTTTTTTTTGTTGTTGTTGTTATTGTTGCTCTTTTGATTAATTTTTATTACTTACAGTTGTGATTTGTTCAATTATTGGACTCTATTTCTATACCAAAATGAGTGGGATGGTAATCCTAACATTTAGTTAATGTCCATTATGTGCTTCTCCTTGTTGTTAGTTGTTATCTAGTGGGTCATGACTCATGGTGACCCCCATGTGTAGAGCAGACTGGCTCTGTAGGGTTTCCAAAGCTGTGATCTTTAAGAAGCTGATTGCCAAGACTGTCTCCTCTGGGTGCCTCCAGCTGCCAATGTTTCAGCTAGTAGTTGAAAGCATAACCATTTCTTTCCACCCATGGATTCTCACTATGTGCCTACAGCTATGCTAAATACTTTGAAATAATTTTCTCATTCTTTATTTTGCATTAGAGTTTTAGGAGATGGATGTTACTACTTCTATGTTTATTTGAGGCAACTGAGGCCCAATGAAGTTAAGTTACTCAGAGTCTGCTTAAGGTATTGATGGATAAAGGCATGGGCTAAACTTGTGGTTTGATTTTTTTTTTTTTTTAATTTGTTTCTTTGGTGGTTATTATTGTTTTATTCTACCAAATAATTACTCTGTGTTATTAAACAAATATTTATATTCTTGAATAGTTTAAAGGAATAGCATAACACACATATATAGGTTAATGAGCAAAAAGTCTGGTACTTAGTTATTTCAAAATACATGTTATCTCTAATTATTATTGTTATTATTATTATTGGCTTGCTTTGAATGATTTTAAAGTTTTTATATTATTATTATTTCTTTAATTTCAGTACCTGTTTCACATTCTACCTTATTAAAGAGTCTTAATGGTTGAGAAAGAAATAGCAATTGAATTAGTTTTCTACATGAAAAAGGGGTGGCCCTGTTGGCACAGTGGTTAAGCATTCCACTGTTTCAAACCCATCAGCCTGTCTGCAGTAGAAAGATGTGGCAATCTGCTTCAGCAAAGACTTGCAGTCTTGGAAACTATGAAATGATCTGCTGTGCATGGGGTCGCTATGAGTTGGAAATGACTCGACGGCACCTAACAACAACAACAACAACAACAACAACTGTCCAGGATCTCTCTGAATCAAATCAATTCATCTGCAAAGGGTTGGTTTTTGTTTTTTGTGTATGCTAAACACTGGGCCACCTGATATTTGACTATATTTTCACAAAACAAAATATGCTCTTCCAAAAACATGATTCTCCTAAATCTGAAGTTATTTACTTATTTATCATTTTAAAGTACTTTATTCCATACTTCAAATATGTCTCTGGTAAACTGATCCAGTTTTGTTGCACCAACTACCCACATATCTTGTCTCCTATCATGATATCAAAAAGAGTGACAAGTTTTATAACAAGGTAAGCTTACCCTGATAAACCTCATAGCAACACTCACTTTGATCAAAACATCTCTTGTGTGATCATTACACATAAACACTATTCAGTGCATTGTTTACTCTCGTTTATAATATAATTTATACACTTATCCTTCATTTAACCAAAACAAGGATATAAAGAAAATGAATTACTGATTGTCTACCATGCATTTGTTCTATTAGCTTTGTGGACAGTGTTTGTGTATATTTACTGTTCTTATGTATTAATAATTTTCTTCTATTGAAATACAACTGACAGGAAGTTAGGGTGGCTCTTTATTTCAGTGAGGACATGGCAGAAAAATAAAATTCCTGTAGAACACCTCCAGTTTTCTGCTGTTTTTTTTTTCTCCTCCTGCATCTTATCTGATTTAGCGTTCATCCCTGAAGAGTGATTTTACTTTTCTAACAATAATTTTAGTTTTCAAATTATTTTTGAGTAGAACTATTTTGTAGTTCTTGTCCCATAATAACTTGTCAATAAATAAATTTTTCAAACGCATATCTAATGTCAGTTATTTTAATGTCTCCTTTCACTTTCAAAACTCTCATAGTTTGAATAAAACCTTATATTGCCAGCTAATTCTTAAAGAGCTTCTGAGTTGATGTCAAGAGTATTTTCCATTGAACTTATTTGGACATGTATTGTGTTAGGGGAAAAATTGCTTCTTACTTTGAGTTCTCAGTGCCTACAAGGGACATAGAGACTGCATATTGGCACAGAGGATCTTTATCACTCTGGGCAATGCAAAAAATCAGGAAGGTGACAAAAATCTCAATTTTATGGACTTTAAGTAATTTTGTAGCTCTTTTTGGAAATGCAGAATCTTATATTTTAGGAACACTTAAGACACTTCCTGTCTGGTATAGACTGAAACCTAACCAAACCCACTGCTGTTGAGTTGATTCTGATTCCTAGTGGCCCCATAGGACAGAGTAGAGCAGCTCCATAGGGTTTTCTATGCCATAATCTTTAGGAAAGCCAACTCTCATATGTTTCTATTTTGCAGAAGCTGGTGTCTAACTGCCATCCTTCAATTAGCAGCTGATTTTTTAACTAGTACTCCTTACCTAGTATAGAGTGCTCTTGGAAATATCCATCATTTCTTCCAGTTCTAAAGCAGAGAGTGTTTCACTTCATCCTAAGGTGACATATATACCCTGGAATGACTGCTCACAATTCTGTATTCCTCTGGAGATAGGCTTCCCAAACTTTCAAAATTTATATACTGCCTTTACAAATTTTGCATTATTTTTAACATACATAAAACAATCATTTACTTATTGCTTTCAATTTCCTTAATTTGAACTACTTTTATATTGACAATACATATTTTAATGGGAAATGTTTCATTATTGACTAAAATTCATATTTGCTATCTGTAGATGTATCTGTAGCTGTCTGTTCATATATACATACACACGTATATATGTGTACATATATATTGTTGTTGTTGTTGTTATGTGCCGTCGAGTCAATATATTTAATTTAAAAAAAAACTACCACTGTGTTGTCAAATATAGTATATTCACTTTGTTAGACTGTGAATAAGAATCACACCATTTATTTTTATATACCTTACCATTGCATCTCCCTGGATTTCATCCACAATGAAAGAAATTAGGACACTTAATTACTAACAATTTTTGTATATCAAACTGCTAATAATAAAAATATATGAATGTGCCAAACATAAGGTATAAACACAGACAAACAAACAAAAAAACAAACTCTTTGTCACCAAATCAACAATCCAACTCATGGCAAACATTATTGGGTTTCTAAAGCTGTAAATCTTTATAGAAACATATTGTTCCATTTCTCTTCCCTGGAGTGACTGATGGGTTCAAACTACCAACCTTTTGGTTAACAGTCAAATGACTTAACCACTACACCATCAAAGTTTAAAATGTCAAAAATTCTTCCACACGGAGATAATTTGAAATTCTCAATTTATCATTAATCTCATTAATAGATGAAGGTTTGTATCTTCCAATTTTTGTGCTCCAAATACTATAGGTCACTGTCACAGCTTAATACAGCTGACAGTTTCAGCAGTGACTACCTGGATTATGACTATCTGGTAAGTATTTACTTACATGGATATATCACATTCATTCATATATAAAAATGATACGCTAAATATTTCCCATTCGTTTAGATAATTAAAGCTGGTCACTGATTTTACTTCTTTATATTACAACTTCTTTAACAGTGCTCAGTCTGATTTGTTAGCAGGAATGCTTGATTGCTACTTAAGTAATTACATGGTTGTATCTACTTCCATAGTGATACTGCCTCAGAAACCCAAGGAGGGGTCACCATGAGTCGGATCTGACTCAACGGCGGTGAGTATTTATTTATTTTTGTTTTTCTTTTCCACTTAGCAATCACTATGGAAGGATGCAGTAACTTTAAAAAGAGGACAGAGAAGGAATCATTTCAGTTCTGATTGTGATCTGAATTGACAGAGCTGTCAAGATACTTTGTCCTCCCATCTAGACTGAGAAGTAGGGAGCACATTTGGTGTCACCTACCTGTGCAGAGAGATCTGCTGAGATCCACTCCTAAATTTACTTCATGAGGCATTCTGGAGTTTTGCTAATTTCTGAAGTCCCTAAAGACATTCATACTAGAATGTGTTTGGTTTTAGACCCAATCCCTAAACATGACAACAAGTATT